TTCAGTCAGTGAAGCGTTTTTATAGTGCCACTTTTGGCAGAGCAGAGCTGGAAAAACCAACAGAAGGGCAGTGAATGGCCCTTTCAACATGGAATAAACTTAACACTGGCACTACTCTTCGAAAACTCTCACAAGGCAAGGTTCATAAGAGAAGAGAAGTCTGGGAACTGGTTTTCTAGCGGAAATGATCGATAATTGGTTCAGCTGATATTTTTAACCAATATTTCCACTCTACTAACCAATATAGGGGAACGACTATAGGGGAAGTCGTGGCCTAATGGTTAGAGAGTCGGACTCATAACCCAAAGGTTGTGGGTTCGAGTCTCGTACCGGCAGGGATTGTAGGTGGGGGGAGTGAATGTACAGCGCTCTCTTCCACCTTCAATACCACGACTGAGGTGCCCTTGAGCAAGGCACCGAACCCCCAACTGCTCCCCGGGCGCCGCAGCATAAATGGCTGCCCACTGCTCCGGGTGTGTGTTCACGGTGTGTGTGTGTTCACTGCTGTGTGTGTGCACTTTGGATGGGTAAATGCAGAGCACTAATTCCGAGTGTGGGTCACCATACTTGGCCACATGTCACGTCACTGCTACTATTTGCTGGGCCTCTAAAATCAGCAGCCAAAATAGTATTTGCAAAAATGTAATTATTTAATAATAATAGCCATTGATTCTTAAGTGAATAACATGCATCTTAATAAATACACATTTTAAATAAATGAAAATACATTTATATCTATCTATATTGCAATTAATTTGAAATAAATAAATATATTACTACTATTTCTAATAATCAATATAATTATTATTAATTATAACATATTTATAATGCATATTTTTATTGTTGGAGCCTAATGATCATTTTACTCATTATCGTGTCAAAAATTTGAAATGAATAAGAAATCAAATCTGTATCGAAAACTACACATAGTTAGCCTGAAAAAGTAATGTTGTTTAATCTCTGTAGTTTTTTTTTTTAATAAAAAAAAAATAAAAAATACATCTTGAAACCACACATTATGCCTGTCTCAAAACCTAGCTAGACAGCACTTCTTGGCATTGCATTGAATGGTGGAAAATGTTGCCTAGGTAGGCAGCTCACTAAGTTTTGAGACTGTACAAGATTTATTTCTACAATGTCTTTCAAAACTACACATGACTTGTATTACTCATAAAGTGTGTATTAAAAGGTTTTCTGATATTAGTCATGAAATCAAAACTCAATATAAAAACCTGACACCATGTTAATATTTGTAAATATTTTAGCGTTCTGAACTCTGAACCACAATAAAAAATATCAGCGGCCAGTATGGCCAGTTCAGTTTGTTCACTATCCACTTTCATTTATGCGATAATACAAGCCTTTCACATCAGATTAAAACAGAAAAATGACTAAATTGATCGAAATGTTATTAAAGAAAAAAAAAAAAACAAGGGCACGTTTATAATAAAATACACGTGATATGCATCGAAAAGTCTGATCGAGTAACGCATAATCATAGACACTGGCTTCGTAACATTCAAAGCGTTATGACTGCTCACACCAGGAATTCACAGTCATATCCATGTTTGCGACAAACACAGATGAACAACGAAAGTATCCAATACTCTGAAAAATATGCACGGTTTAACAAAAACGACCCCCAACAATACCCGTGAGATTTCTTACCATGACTTTCATCGTTGTGGATTTATCCATCCTGTAAAGGATGGCGTGTTTTACCGACTTTTCCAACTACGTGTTGATTCTTTTACACTCCGGAAACAATGTTAACTATTAAAAAAACAAATGACAACACAAATCAAAGTACATCCAATGTTTGACGGCCTGTCAGAACCGAATCATCTTCGACTACTTTCTCGTGGAAACGCGGTTGTTGTAATGCGACGCTTCTCTTATTGTCAAGTTAAAAAAGTTAGACAGAGTTCGGTGACGTCACGTGACGTCAGTCTCACTGGCCAATCAGAGTGATGAAATCTCGACTAATGAAAGAGCCGTGATTTGTAGGTTGCTGTATTACTACTGGGTCATTCCTACAGTTCTGTGCCTTTCAAGTCTTTTAATACAAGCTATGACATTTGTAATCTTATTTTAATGTTACATTTCAAACTACAATAATAACAATAGGCTTTAACAAAAAAGAAGAAGAAAGAAGAAAACAAACAAATATAGCCTAGTTTCTGGCTCAGAGTGAAAAATAATTAGACTGGGTTACAAATTCCTAGCCACTTTATAAAACCTTACTCTGACAATTATACAGATTAGGCAAATGTAATCATCATAATCTTATTTTGTTTCCCCTCCTCTCACAAAAATAAAGTAAAAAGCCCCAATTTTGTCACCGTGTAGGCAAACAATGTTGAATTCAGGATGGTTTGCCACCCCCTCTACCTGAATAACCTATAAACTGTCATAATAAATTAACAATTTCCCTTAAAAAGACTTTGAAGAGGTGACAACATTGGAATTCTGATTTCAGCACAGAAGTCACAAGGTAATCCTTCATGCCAAGCCTGTGATGCAATGCACAAGTATTGTGAAATCAGGCCCTCGTGACTGAATGATCGCCGCTTCATCTGTAAAGGTGCGCATACAAAAAGAGATAAATGGCCTTCATTACAATGCTAACAAAACCAAGGCTTTTAAATGGATTATTATTGGAATGCTCAGTGTTATAGTGGAACAAAAGTGATGTGGTCTTTTGCTTAGATTACTGTCAGACTCATTGTGTGCAGCTTGTGATTTCACTCCAACAGACAAGCATGTAGGCTCAGAAAGCTATTTGTCCTGTTATAAAATATTAATTTTATCTCATAGGTGAAATGAATCACCCTTTACACTCATAAACAAAAACTATTCATCAAGGTTGTTATGCACAATAACCTGTCTGATGTGTTTTATATCCACTGATGAAAACACCTTATGAGTAAAACAATTATGTAAATGTAATAAATCAAGTTTTGCAATCTTTCTGCCAAGGGCAGAACAGGTGGGTGAAATGGCATTTTCCAGTTAATTTTACTCCTATTGTTGGAAAAACTTCCTGAACTTAACATGTTATATGCATTTTCACGTAGATTTGCAAGGGAAATCAGGTTTGGGATTGATGTACTACTTTGAAGAGCAAGGAAAAAGGATTGGTTTCGTCTGATTTGCATTCATGCATTTTATTCCTATATATACATACAGAATATGTGTATAGTATAATGTATCAGTATAACAGTATAATGATCTTTCATGCTTTCTTGGCAGTGTTGCTTACAGGCATCCGACTGCTACTTTTCACACTAGCATAATTAACCAAGTCTGCACTATTTCCCTCAAACTCTCTCTTTCACTCCCACACGCATAAACAAACAAAGCAAAAAGTCTTTATTCCTACATTTGTATTGTTTAGGGAGCTCAAAGTGGACGTGAGAAGGCCAGACGATGAACTCAGCATGCCTTATGGTGGATTTACTGTGGGACAGGCCTAATTATCACATATTTTTGTCATCACTTAGTTAAGCAGAGATTCTTTCCATGCCTCCTCCTCTCTTCATTTATTTTTAAGGGGAAGGGTTTTGGGTGAGTCCAAGGACACTGTTTGGAATGCTGGAAGACGTTGCACAAACTTTTGCATCGCTTCAGGCTTTTTTTTTTTTTTTAGTGAAGAGGGAACATAAGTATGCAATCAGAGAGGAACGAGCAGATTTTGTTTGACAAAATACAGGATGGTGGTGGTTGACACCAGGATACTCTCGTCTGGGCTGCAGGATGTGTCCCATAATTCAGAGCAATAATCGGTGCTGCCTCATGCTCGCGGGAAAATGTGAAGCAGAATCAACATGTATGTTTTTTGTGTTTTATAAATCATATCTGTGTATACATTTTTGAGAAAACGTGAACAGGATGTTCAGCTCATGGCACTGACAAATACTTGGAAACACAGTTTTGATTTAGGATAGTTATGAAGATTGTAAGCACGACTCCCTGAGGAGCCTTTGTTAGAGTATGTTTATGTTACAACACATATGGACAAACACATGCTGTTTTTGTTTTGTGGAACACACTCAAAAAAGTTATTTAAAAAAAATTTTTCACATACTTTTGATCTTCACCTTATAACATGTTCATAGTGACCACTTCTGAAGTCATACAATAGCTTCACTCTGTGTTCCACAAAAAAAATACCAGCAACATTAGCTAGATGATGAAAAAATAACTATGCTATATTTGAATATACTAGATTTAAAGGGGTCATATGATGCGATTTAAATTTTTCCTTTCTTGTGTATTTGGTGTAATGAAATGTGTTTATGCGGTTTAAGGTTAAAAAAACACATTATTTT